TCCCTTGACACAAACTCTGCAATGGGTCCTGATTTTATTCATCCGCTAGTGTTAAAAAATTGTAGTGATGTCCTAACTTACCCTTTACATGTTATCTTTAACCGATCGATTGTGGAAGGTACCGTTCCAAGCGCCTGGAAGAGGTCTAATGTAATACCGCTGTTTAAGAAGGGAAAGCGATATGAACCCCTTAATTATAGACCCGTAAGTCTTACCCCTGTCTGTTGTAAGGTGCTAGAACGTGTCATTGCCAAACATGTATACGAGTACCTGGATTCAAATAGAATTATATCGGAGCACCAGTTTGGGTTCCGTCCCGAGAGATCGGTGATGGAACAGCTCCTACTTGTCTATGACGACGTATCATTGAAAGTTGACGCAGGTCAGACCGTTGATCTTGTTCTGTTTGATTACTCCAAGGCGTTCGATGTGGTGTGTCATAGAATACTGCTTAGGAAACTTCAGCTGTTGGGTATTGATGGATGCCTACTCTCTTGGATTTCTTCATTCTTAACAGATAGAGTCATGCAGGTGTGTGTTGGTGGTAACTTAAGCAGCAGCAGAGACGTGTGCAGTGGTGTTCCACAGGGTTCCGTGTTAGGTCCGCTGTTGTTTTTGATATATATTAATTTTGTGTGCTCAAAGCTTTCCTGTACTTTTAAGATGTTTGCCGATGACCTTAAATTGTATGCTTCTGTTGCGCGCAACTCTGTGGCGTTGTATCCCCAGACAGATCCGACACTGCAACAAGATATTGACGTGCTGTATAAGACCTCTCTGTCCTGGGGCTTGCGCATGAACAAGGCTAAGTGTGCGGTGTTGAGATTTTCCCGGAAGTTCTGTAGCCAATCTCAGCCGTTGTACACGTTAGACGGTACACCACTTCCGATCCATCACTCGCAGCGCGACCTAGGAGTGTTGGTCGATGATTCGTTAAAATTTCATCTACATATAGCCACTGTAGTGCATAAGGCCGGTGGACTGTGTCACAATTTTAAAAAGGCTACAGTTTGTCGATCACCCGCATTCATGTTGTTCCTTCTCAGGACGCATGTAAGGCCTGTGCTTGAGTATGCGTCTTGTCTGTGGTGCACCGAATATGCTGAGGATGTGCGTAAACTAGAAAGGGTACAGCGCAGATGGACAAAACACATTGAAGGGATGCATGACATGACTTATGCGGAGAGGCTGAAGGAACTTGACCTTTTCTCTGTGCAAGGCCGACTAATTCGCGCCGATCTGATACAGTACTGGAAGATTTTCCATGGGAAGAGCACAATAACCCCTGAGGACATTTTCCATCAGCCTCCCCGAGGTGGAACTCGTGGTCACTGCTTCAAGCTGCATGTAGCACGTGCTGTTTCGAACGTGCGGCAGCGCTCGTTTTCGCATCGTCGGGTGGCTATCTGGAATAGTTTGCCAGAGGCCGTGGTGGCCGCTTCAGATCTGTCGTCTTTCAAACGACTTCTCGCACAGGCACTAGGTAACACATTGTACGACTACATCTGACTCGCGATATTTGTGCAAACATACCGATAAGTGTTGTTTTCCAATGGCATATACCACGAGGACACACACTTTCCAGTCATCTGGCCATATCTATAGGACATCATCGTGGGGAGACTGTGACTGGCGTGTCCTGATCCTATCCGGGTTCCTCCTGCTCCAGTCCTTACTACCGGCTGCGAAGCAGAAGGAGCCCCACCAAGTAAGAGTACCAGGTAAGAGCGGCCACACAGTGACACGGAGACAATTCAGCGCCAGCCGGGGCCCGCGTCTACTTGATCGGCGCGTCTGCTGAGCGCTCCTCGGCGTGGTACGCCTCGGCCAGCCGGCGGACGGCCGGCTGCTCGCAGTAGTAGCACTCCATGCGGCTCTCGGCGGTGGCCGAGCGACATCCGAAGCCCGCGTAGAACCGTACGGCCGGCTCGTTCCAGGCGTACACGTTGAAGTCGATGTGCGGCGCGCCGAGACTGACGCCGGCGGCGGCGACGGCCTGCAGCAGGCGGCGGCCGACGCCGCGCCGGCGCAGCGCCGGGTCCACGTACAGGTCGGTCATGTAGAGACATTTACCGATACCGTCGTAGCCGGCCCAGGACACGGTGAAGATGGCGTGTCCGACCAGCCGGCCGGCACGCTCGGCGACCACACAGCGGAACGACGGCGGCTCAGAGCCGAACGCCTCGCGCGTCAGATCGGCGGCGCTCAGCTGCGGCAGCGTCATGTCCCTGCCCTCCAGCTGGTTGATGGCGTGCAGCAGGTCCACCAGCTGCTCACAATCGGAGACGGCCAGCGGACGGATGGCGATGGGAGGCTCGTCGGAGAGGGAGTTTTCTGACTGATGAGTGGTAGCTGAGGTCCCAGAGGCGCCGTACCCATTGCTGGTCTCATGTCCATTGCTGGTACAGTGTCCATTGCTGGTCTCGGAAGTAGGAATGTCGACAGCGACAGGGGTGGAGACGGTCTCAGATAAGGGTGGGCCACCGAACGGAGGCATGCCACCCGTGACAGGGGCGGCTCCGTTTGTAACAGGTGCGGCACTTTCTGCCATATCGGAGGAAAACGCTGCTGGTTGTCGCCGCTGGTTTTAGACGAAATTACGGTGGAATGGTGACGTAGATTACGTAGACGATGTAGATGATGTAGATCACTGATGCTGTCAGCCAACTAACGTCCCCACTAGCTGATTAACAGTGACACAACGTTTCAACTTTAAACAGCACACCACCACAATGACTTGACCATCACTCCACTGGCCGATCGTCTATGGAGCACCCCAGCGACTCAAGTCTGCTTATTCTGTGATGACTTACAAATGACGCGATTGGCTGACCTCCAGCCAGCTGATGAAACACGTCCGCACTGCTGGCTGATGGGTGTCACTCTATGCCTATGGTAAGTGGTGACCTCACTGACCCGGCCGTGAAATTTGACGTCAACAGCTGTAACTCTGTTTCTCGACGTCTTGTTATGTCCACTAATGAGCACTAAAGCATCTGAGGTGAAATTTCAATCACTCAATGCCGGATCCGTCCACAAACAAATCCAATTACAGATTCGAAGTATGATTATTTGACTTTTCAACGATGACAGATCCGACTCGATCCTTGACCCGGCTGTGGTAAATCCGACTCTCTGCGACTCCGACTCCCCAGCTTCCGCTGCTCTTCGGTTCCACGTAGTCCACTTGTCCACTGGCACCATCAGTTCCACGCAGTCCACTGTCCACCGACCGCCAGCACCTTCGGTTCCACGTAGTCCACTGGCACCTTCGGCTCCACGCAGTCGTCGCAGTCCACTGTCCACTGGCACCTTCGGTTCCACACAGTCCACTGTCCACCGACACAGTCGAATCTATTCGGAGCTCTCGCAGTAGAGCAGCAGCCCACGTGACACTGAGATCTCGCAGTAGATGTGTAGAGCAGCGACTGACACCGCAGTAGCACGGTAACTGCGCCCGTTAGAGATCAGTCGGCCGGTCGCGTCGGTCACGCCCCCCCCCCCTGCCCTGACCTTGAGTAACCCCCACCTCATCTGACGCGCCTTGGAAGGACGCCATAGCCAGACGGCCTTGGAACATTACCGTCAGGAGCTGAGATCTATAGTGCAACGCTTGGCTGCAGCTAAGTGGATGAACGTTGATTGCGTAACTTGCCATACCTTATGGAAAAACGTGTTTCTTTCTCAGTAATTCAGCACTGCAAAAAATTGAGCGAAGTAAAATATAATTTCAGTGATATAAATATGGTAAGTGATGCACATCATTTGCCCAACTTTCTCACTACAGCTTCATGTTAAAAAGCTCGTGAACAGGTCCGATTGGTGATTCGCAACACCAAACCAACAATATTTTATTCAAGTCAAGTTAGTAAAGGTCACTGAGTTCAGACAGCTAACCCGTTCTTTCGCGCCAGCACATGAAATGGGAGCTCGAAGCTCGAAGAACATGATCAATTCGCACAATCGCCGGTTGTACTCGTGTCGGGCCACCCCTCCTGCCCCGCCCGGCAACAGTCGGGGCTTGTTTATTGCTCCTCAAACGCCGGCAGAGTGGAGTAGCAGCCCACCGAGGGCAGAGGTCATATGACCATGACCACCCAGTGACACCGCCGAGCCATACGACATCCCCCTCACCCCCCCCCCTCCCGGCTCAGGACCGCCACGTGCCATTCCGGAAAACTGCATATCAGAAATGTGGATTGCCGGCCATTTGAGGCCATTCAGTACGATCAAATAGTCGTAAAGGTGGTAACGGTGCACCAATTCAAACAGCCGCGTCGTTCATCACTTCACCACATGAGGAGTCGTATTATCGATATGGCGAGCAATCGCTTAATTGAGACACACTTAGGATATCAGGTGTGAGATCGATCACCGCCCAATAGCTATTCACAATATGCAGGACGCGCGGCAATGATTCCTTCAGGGACGCAAGTAAACAATTATTCCTTTGACCTGGTACGACCTCATCTTGCACCTCTTGGATCGATTTTCTCATGTCAAGTAGATATACAAATGCAGTGCGAACCCCCAACCAATAGATGCTTTGAATAACAAACTGAAACTAAACATACCAAGTAACTAAGACGGACTTCAGTCTTTGGACGGACGTCGAACATTGATTGAACTCGCGTTCTGAAACCGGCACCATCAGTTCGCAGAGTACCCATCTCTATATCTGGGATTGAAAACGATTAAAACCTTTTTCAATCAATGACCATTGCTAAAATGACGAATGCGAAGTCCAACAATATCGTGAGCTAGCGCCTAGCTCGTGGGATAGAAGAGGCTCTACTGGCTGTCGGGAGAAGCTCAGCTTCGTAAAACGGCCGACAGTTGACGCCACCGCATGCTTCATTGTGCTCCCGACTCCCGAGAGACGGCAGATGAAAGGCATGACGAAAACGTGACGAAAACTACGAACACAAACGTATATTCCTACCAGTAACTACAGCGTCTCGTTTCTACATGCTAATAGAAACCGGTTGGTTATGACTGACCTGTACACCGATCCCAGCTGAATCTGGTTGAAGGAGTCCACCTTGATAAGAAGGCCCTTGTGAATGTCGTAGTGTAGGCCGCGCACGGCGAAATCCGGCAAATAACGGAGATTTTCTATGTCCTTGGGATACTGAAAACGGGCAAATAAATCACTTACAATTTATAATTATATAAGAACATAGAAGTATGCACACCCAAATCAGCATATGTAACAAGAACATCCTAACTTTAAATGAATGACAATGATTGCTAAACCAGGTCAATATGAGAATATTGTTACTGAAATGTGCTATATATACACACCACACAGTATGCACAAATGATGAACAAAAAGTGGAAATATAAAAAGAATACACACTGAAACACAGGCAGCACTATTAAACTTAGATATTGCATTTAGCATAGGGTGTTTCCTAGTTCCTAGTGGTCCTATGTCAATGTACCTTGAATTTTTCCACAAGAGCTTTCTTCCCTAGGTCATAGATAAGATGGTGCATTGAGGGCTTATAGTGAGCAAGAGTGTAGTCATAATCAAAGCCATAAATGCTGACATTTCTCAGATGGATTTCATTGTTAGCAAACACTGCTCTTGGATTGACATCAGGAGGTGGCTTCTTTGCTGAAAACAAAGGTGGTTGATAAGTAATTTTGATCCTGTGAACGTTCTCTAACAAATAAAAAATCACATAGTCTGGCCCAGGGATATTAAGCCAGGTTACAATACCAATGCTGTTAACAGTCACCATGCTCTGCTGCCTTCATTGAAAAAATCAATACTCTAACTGATTTACTAACAAATTTTCCTTTACTTTTGTTCCTTGACAGGACATCTAATCAATGGCGGTAATGCTGAATGCATGATAGGTAGACAAAGGTAGACAGTAATCTTATAGATAAAAAACAGGGCAAGTGAAACAAATGATAAATTAAGTTGATGTCCGTTAATCTAAAATATGAATCTAATAGAGCAACACATTTCCATGCAAAAATGTAACTAGCTTTGAGTAGCACCTATACTGATTATCTGTATATAGATGCAAAATTGCCAATAAACACAGGTAGGTAGGTACTTACAAAAGCAAAGTCTCTTTGCAGATTCATATGCTTCCAGGAGATTTCTGTGGCTTTTCACAGAAAGGTGTCTTTGACCATGGTAGGACTGGAAGGATGTTATCACTCCTAAGCGGCCGAGACGACTGTACTTATAAACAATATTCATTTGGAAGATGTGTCCAGATAAATGAAAGGAGCTGAGACACAACACGACCAGCGGAAGTCAAAGCCCAAAAGCTCTTCAACTTCAGTTTTTGGCAAATCAAGCGTCAATGACTCCTATTGAGCACACCATTGAATAACAAAAATGCAAGGTATATCAAAAATGTTAACGAGCAGGGAGCCTTTATAATTTGAATTAAATCACTACACTTAGGTCCAATTTGAATTACAATTTCATGCCAAAACGGCCAAAAGTATTTTGTCTCTTTCGCGCCATATATGCATGCTAAAAATGCATAGCATTCAGCTGTTGCGAGGTTACGTTACTGCCGCTAGATGACACTACAGAGCACACAGGGCACACTCAAGGCCCTAAAACATACTTCCATGGGATTGGGAAGATGATTTTTTTTTATTCAAGGGAATCAATGAATCACATTTATTGCTTTCATGTCATCAGCCGTAGCATGTGCAGTCTGTCTTAAAAGTAGGTACTGCGCAAAGTAACGGTGGATCCACCAAGCCTGAAGCCTAGGACCGAGGAAAGGCCTGCTAAACTTGAGTCACCGACTCACCGCGAAGCAATTGACATCCTTGTGACCTTGTCCATTTCCCACCTATCCGTGCTTCTATCCTCAGGATACTGAAATCCTTCTCCTCCACGCCGCAACCCCCCTCCGGGCTGGACAGGCAACTTTATCTCATGCGGGCTGCTCCCTTGGAGCGGCACCGCTGCTCCTGAGGGAGCGCACCCCGTAGCCGGGTGCAGTGAGTGCCTTGGGGCTGGGTGGCCTGTCTTTGGACGGGCTCAGCCCCGGCGACTCACTAGGGTGCCTGCCCAGACCAATGTCTCCCCCTAATTCCTATCATCCTTCCGGCTCTGCAATGGTCTTGTCGACCGAAAGGGCCTAACCCAACAAAACAAACAACAATCCATTTCCCAGGTCAATTGGTTCGGTCACACCGTTCCGTGCTTCTATCCTCAGGACACAGAAATCCTTCTCCACGCCGCAACCCCCTCCGGGCTGGACAGGCAACTTTATCTCATGCGGGCTGCTCCCTTGGAGCGGCACTGCTGCTCCCGAGGGAGCGCACCCCGTAGCCGGGTGCAGTGAGTAGTAAGTACTTTGGGGCTGGATGGCCTGTCCTCTGGACGGGCTCAGCCCCGGTGACTCACTAGGTGCCTGCCCAGACCAATATCTCCCCCTATATCCTATATCATCCTCCCGGCTCTGAAATGGTCTCATTGGACCGAAAGGGCCCAACCCCCCCCCCAAAAAAAAAACAATTGGTTCGGTGACTTTCAAGAATTATAGCAGGCCCTTCCTCGGTCAGGCTTGATGGATCCACCCGGTCACTTTGCGCGGTACTTTTAAGACAGACTGTACACGATCCAGCTTCCATTAGTACCCAACCCTGATCTCAGCCGCTTGGTTGGGCTTTTGATTTATACCGTTTAGGTTCCTACCTACAGTGAGGGCTGGTCCGGGTTCGTCCAAGATTTTTACAGTGGTCCGTCTTGCGCTGGGAGAACATCCCAGTTGACACTGCTGAGCTGAGCTGACTGGTGGGTGAGGTGAGCTCAGAGTACCTAACTTTGGAAACCTTCAGGCTTCAGCGTCTGTCAGCTTTCTCTATCATCAGGCTAGCTTACTGCTTAGTGCTTACGAGTATTCCACAACCCTGAATATCAGAATTCACGGTAGCTATAGTGCCAGGGATCATTGCAGTCAACTCAGCAGTCGGCAAATGTCCATCAGGCAGTCAGCAGCAGCAGGTATAGGTAAACTGGCCCGGCACTGCTGGCGAGGGTCACTAGGGTGTTACGAGCTCCAGAGCTCTGACGCTGACTCCTTATGCTTGTATGACAAGTGATACTGGGGAAGGGGACGGATGAACGTTGTGCTGGGTTACTGGATAGCCTGTTCCACGGGGACACCCCCAGCAGAAGTCCTGTCCCAAAGGAATTGCGGTAGGCTCAGCAATGTTCCACTGCGGCAACTGGTTACTGACTACTGGTGTGCCGCGACCCACTGCAGCTGGTGGTCGGTTCGGTTAAATCGGTCACTCGGACTCACCAACTATTAGTTAGGCATCCTCCAATCAATTGAGGTTGACCCACGCAAATTACAGCGCAGCTTTGCATCTGACTTTGGCATCAGGCGTCTGCAGATGCCTTCCTTCATTGATCACATCACATTCACCTATTCTTGATTTTTGTCTTTTACAGTAATTCGATATTCTTAACCAAGACCCCAAAACCTTCCAATAACCTCTGGCGATTGGCGATATTTCATGCATGATCAGCAGACTTAATTAGCCGTTTTCACGACGGGCTATCCGGCGAATGCACCTGATTTGACCAAATCTGCACCTAATTTCTTTTACAGCAAATATCTTCATTTTATGAAATAATTTCAGTGTTTTAATCGATGATGCTCCCTGATAATATGACAAAGCAGGCATATAAGCAATTAGTGCAACCCTAGCTGATAGCTGTTAAGAGACACAGTGGACCTGATTTGACCAAATCTGCACCAGATTTGACCAAATCTGTACCAGAGGTGCACCAAATGTGTACCAGATGGCCGTCGTGAAAACGGCTATTACGAGTTAACAGTTTAACACAGCATGATCGTGGCCCGTCAGCCGTCCTGCACCAATTCAGCGGTCCTCGCGGGCGGAGCTTTCCTTTTCGCAATCCTCCGTCTGCAAACGGATTGCGTCAAGGCGGTTCACCGAAACGGGGCGTCACACATCGGCAGAGGGTGGATAGAACCGGTAAATACCGGACACAGGACGCCTGGGCTCTGCCGCCGCCGGTCCCCCTAACCCCTCTGATCCCACCGTCTCCCCGCCCCCACCCAAACCGCCCGGCCGCACGGTAGCCTGACCCCCTGGGTACCCCAGGATTTGTTCCCCGCTTCTGTTAACCATTCTGACCACCCCGGTCCCGTCGAAAACAGCATTCCTGGGCTACACGGACCCTCCGAGTTGACGGTTTTTCCCATTGAAGCTGACACAGGGACCGGGGGGAGGGGGTCCCGTTAATGCCCGCGGTACCGACCCCGACCCTCACCCATCCCTCTCCCTTACCCTCCCACTTACCTGGGCTCGTCTTCGCCCTAGCCCGTGCCTGATGGAAAATCCCCGGTGACAGTCGGCATCGGGCTGAGACCTAGGCTGGAGCTGTCTTTTTGGCGCTGGATAATATAAAAAGTACAATTGTTAACCGTACAGGTAATCGTTAACTGCAACTGTTACTTGTCAGGTTAAAAATGCCGGCATATTTATTTATGTTAACACCAAGGCTATAGAACTCCGTTAAAGGAAATAGTTCACTTTCACGAAATTATTTTTTTTTGCAACGATTTATTATTTTTTATGTTCAAAATAATCAGCAAAGAAAATAAAACCTTTTTATAACAAAAGATTTTTTTTTCTATATTTTGATATAGGAAGAACTTTTCAGTTTCTGTAAGGCACACGCGATCCAGTATGAAAAGAGCATGGGTCCCGAAAATTCTTCACAAACAGAGAAATTATCGCAGCCACCGGCATTTGGGCGATCTGCTCGATCTGATAATGTTCCCCTGAATGTCCTAATTGATCAGTACGAGAATTTCTCTAGAGTTCTCGTAGATAATTTCTCTAGTTTCTGAAGAATTTTCGGGACCCATGCTCTTTTCATACTGGATGGAAATATATGCAAGGCACACATCCTCAACGCAAGACACCTTTTTCGGGACGAGAAATAGAATATCTTTGCCTAGGGTGATCGTTGGGCTGTAAAAGCTCCTGATTTATGCTCGTCTCAGCCCAAGCTACGGAACTGCTATTCCAGTTCAAAACCCATGTTAAAAAGTGAACTATTTCTTTTAACACTAACGCATGTGTGTAGCTGATAACTATTGCAACTTCAAAAGTTGTTTTAAGCCATGCTGCACTTCTTGCTTCAGCATCTTTTTCACTCTATATCAGTTATTTGCAGTCTGTTTTATTCCATAACGTAATGAATGATGTCCGTCGCACATGCCCTCTGTAGAAACTAGAGATCATGCTATGCCTAAATAAATCAAAATTGAAACACAACTGTCCCGCGACACGGAGATGCAGGTGCTTGCCGTCTGCTGTTGATATTGTTACCGGTGCTAATGACGCATCAACTGGTACCTATGTAACTTTGTGGGACATTATAAGTAATCCTTCGGAAGTAATAAAACGGTGGGACGTTCTTCATTGGATTACTCTGAAGGTCAACACTCGCTTCCAAATGTGCTGCAGCGCTCCGAATGTGCGGCATTTTTACATTCCTCGGTTCAAGCTGTTTCAGGGATACCGTTACGGCCGCGCACAAAAGGATACATGATGTTCTATCATAATGGGTCAGTGTGACATTGCGTTCCCGCAAAGGTCGCGGAAGAGTTATTGTGAGCACTGGTGTTCCTTGGCCTGTGCTGCTTAATGGTTGTCAGGCAGATGAGTGGTGGTTCTATTGGGTCAGTGTAGGTATGTATTTTCTCTCCTTCATTCCATTAGCTGTCTGCCTGTCTGTCTCTGAAAAGTGAACGACGACCTTGAGCATTTATAGTGTTGTAGGTATAGCCAAATGTCCGTCGAAACTCAATCGCCTATAGACCGCCTCGGAAAAAGATGAAAGCATACACTGAAAACAATTTCACCCGAAGCTGGCGAATTAAGCGTTGCTTTGCGGGTGGTATATGTGTATTAACTCGCCATGTCCAGATTCTAGCTAGAGGGTAAGCAGACTTGCCTGCCTTATTACTCGTAAATATGCACTGTACCCACAGTCTGCAACACAGGCTAAGGTGATCGTTAACTTGCTTCGGCAGTTGGCATTTCACGGGTTTGTTTTGAGAGCTCTCCTACGTGCGTCCCCACCCCTCACATCCAACCTTTCACCAGTTGTTCCACACACTCTCCTTCACTGCCCACAACCGCATCCAGTTGCCCCACGATGGGGAAGCGGCGCCGTCAGCGCCCGCTATCCGACTCCTTATCCGATTCCGACTCTGACTCCCCTCTGAATCCGACTCCTCCTTCTGCCATGGATACCGACTCCCGCCCGACCGTCAACCCTCCCTCCTCTACCCACCCTTCGACTGATCTACCCGGTACCGACCCTCGCTCGTCCACTGACCACGCCCTGACCGCTGACCTGACCTCTGACCCCGCCCGGCACTCTGACCCTCGCTCGTCTACCGACCTCGCCCGGAGCCATGACCCTCGCCCGTCCACCGACCACTCCCGGAGCTCTGACCC